TCTCCCTTCTGTCTCAGCCCCTAATGCAGTCCTGGGGCACCAGGCACCCGGGTCCCCCCGGGAAGGAAAGCAGGTGCCCCCTGTGTGCGCAGACACTGTGCCCAACACCACAAGCTTGGGGAGCCAGCAGCCCCTGCCTCAATGTTCCACCCCCAAGGCCATTTCTACATGCTTTTAGTCAGAGAGAAACCCTACTGAGACACCTAGTGAGTCCTCCTCACCCCAATTCACACCCACCATCACCAGCCACGCCCAGCAGCACCGTGGGACAGGGTTCCCACCCCACTTCCTCAGGACAGAGGCCCCAACCACTCTCGTGGGACAGATCAAGAAACTGAGGCTGGGGGCGGGTAAAGGGATGGCTCAGAACCAGCACAGCGGGCCCGTGGGGCGGAACCAGGACCCTGGCAAGAACAGCGGGAGCTGGTCCAGGGCGCTGCGATCCCCACCCTGCCCAGGCAGCCCCAGCCTCCCCCAGGGCTCCCAATTAGCATCCCGAGATGGCAAAGCAGCAGCCCAGGGACTGAGCAGCCTCTGCCCGCCTTATAAGGCAGCCTCGGGGGAAACTTGGCTGTTGTCAGCCACAGAGCCGGAGGTGGGTGGTTCCCAGGGGGAGCAGAGCCAGCAGCTCACGGCCATGCAGACATGGTTCTGGATCCCGGGGCCCAGCCCCACCCAGAGCCACCCATACAGGGGCAGCGTAAAGGCAGGGACCTGGGTGAGGGGACAAGACCGTACTCAACCAGAGCCTGAGAGAAGCGGGGATGACCAAAGGGTGACAAACAGAGTCGGGGGCCAAGGTCAAGGGTCAGGGCCCAGGAGCCTCAGAAACACAGACCCCAACATGCCAGGATGGAGCAGGTCAGACCTGTGGGTTCTTGGTTGACCAGGAAAGGATCTGCTTGGTCCCTGCAAGGTCCCATGGGGTCCCCGGGGTCCCTGTGTCTGCTTGCAGGGGCCACAAAAAGCCATCTCACCCCTCCAACCCCGTTTGATTGAGCCCTCCCTACGTCTGGGTCAGTCAGCCGGTTTAAAAGAATCAAAACCAAAACCAACCAACCCTGAAACAAACAACAGCCTTACCTTCAAATATCCCAGAACCCAGTCGGGGGCATGGAGGGAATTCTGAGAAACACCGAGTAAATGCTGGGAGTGGATATCGCTGGCTATAGGTGAGCTATCGATTCTAGCTCCTAGATTTTCTGAATTTGAAAAGGTATTGCTGAGAAACTATTTTCACATTAGAAGTTTAGCGGAGGAGGGGCACTGGGAGGCTCAGTCAGTTGAGTATCTGCCTTTGGCTGGAGTCGTGATCCTAGGGTCCTGGGATCCAGCTCCTAGAAGGACTCCCGGTTCCCTCTGCCCCTCACCCTGCACAAGCTCACGCAAGCACACACCTCTCTTCTGTCACAGAAATAAATATTTTAAAAAAGAAAAAAAAGGAAAAAGAAGTTTAGCACAGGAAGAAATTTTCTTGCAACACAATTAACATTCCAAACCAAACACAAGATAACACACACACACACACACACACACACACACACAGACGCACAGGCAAAAAGGCACAGGAGTCAAAGGAAGTGAGGCTACTTCTGGCTAGTGGGAGGGCTTTAGGGAAGAGGTGCCATTTGAGCCGGGCTCTGAAGGATGCATAGGAGTTCAAAAAGCAGTGCTGTGGAAAGGAAGAAGGTCAGGGGCCAGGGGTCAGGAGGTCAGAGCAGGAGGTGAGGAAAGCGGGCCTATGGAGGCTGTGACAAGACCAAAGCAGGAAGAGCCCAGGGAGCAGGGGTGAATCCACTGTGGAGGGCCGAACAGAAGCGGGCCAGGAAGACTTGGGGCCGGTACGGATTTCATCAGTGCCGTGCCGTAGGGGGCTCCATCTGGGAGCAACTCGGCTGTGGTCCCCGAGACCATGTCCTGCACCAGCCCAGAAGGCAGAGGACACAGAAGCCACAACCCAGAAGGCAGAGGAGACACAGAGCTCCTGCCCTCCCGGATCCTTTGCCCCTACGGTGCAGCTGGCCTTGGGTGCCAGGGACAGCGTGCCCACGGGGGGCAGTCGGGGTGGGGGGTGTCTGCGAGGGGGCGGAAGGGGATGGGAGAGCTAGTGGGGCAGGAAAGACGGATGCGAAGCGAGACTGAGGGACAACCAGGTCTGTGTCTGGATGGACAAGACAGGCTGTGACCAGAGGAGGGGCAGGGGCAGGGGAGAAGATGCAGCCTCCGAGCAGGGGGCCCCCAGAAGCTGCTGCGACAGATTCCAGAAGCACACCTCCACCAGGAAGGCCCTGCCCGCCCCTGGGCTTGCCCAGGACTCTAAGACTGGACATCCAAGGCCGAGGCCATCAGGGCCAAGTCCACCGGCCCACAGTGGGCCCAAGGCTTCCTCTTCCTCATCCGACATCTCACACGGCCTTACTCGGGGGCTCAAGGACCAGAGTCACCTGCAGTGCTGCCCGAAGGGAACAGAATCCTCCCCAACTGAGCCATCTGAGCCCCCCACTCCCTCCAGCACCCCCTCAACACCCCACCAGCATCCCACCCCTTGGCAGCCACCCGTCTAACCAGATCTGTCCAGCCTGAAGGTTCTCAACCTGTGAGCACGGGTCTTAGAGAGCCCCTTCCCCACCCAGCCGATGCGACGCAGCGGGTCAGGGCACATGCATGTACACACGTGCCTGGCACACACACCCCCAGCTTATGCTCCTTGGTAGGAGGATAGCCCCTGGATCCCCGTCTGCTGGGCCCACCAGCTGCTCTAGGAGGGGCACCAGGGCTGCTGACTGCAGAGCTCTGGCACTGGGTTTGGACAGTTAAACTTTCTTCCGTGGAGAAACTCTATAGTTCCTCTGAGCTCCAGGGTCCCGGGCACCTTGGGACAGCTGCCTCAGCTCCCCTTCTTGGCCTGGTTAAATCCTACTTTCTCCAAGGCTGGCTCACAGGGCTTGGGGCTCTGGGAAGACCTCCACTGACCCCTTGATGGCTCCTGCTGGCAGAAGCCAGCCTGGCTGGCCCCAGCGGCCCCGGCTCCCAGCACAGCCTCTGGGCCAAGTGGGGCCTGAGCCACGTCAGCGCTGGAGAAAGACATTCTTGCACTTCTGAGGCTGTGCCCCACCTGCCCTGCTGACCCAGGGCAGTACCACCCTGGGCAGACCCCCTCCTGCCCCTCTCCCAGAGCCAGACCGCCTCCTCACACATCCAGCACCAGCCACCATAGAGATCTAGACACAGTCAGGGGCACCAACACCTCACCCCCGGGAGGGGGTCATACCTGGTGGCAAAGGCCCTGGACCAACAGAAGACCCCTCCCCACACACTGGACATGCCTTCGTGCCAGCACCACAGCACCTGAGTGGGTGGGCATGGCTCTGTAGGGTCATGTCTGGGGAGACAGGAGAGTGGACTGAGGCCCAGCACTGCAGGCAACGCGGAGTCTCGGCCCATACCCCCATCCCCAGCTGCTCCCACCAAAGCATGAGGAGCATGGGGAGCCCCCATCCAATGCCCCGCCCCATCCAACGCCAAAACCCATCCCGGTCCCCAAGCCCGTGGAACATGGGAAAACTTGCATTCACAAAGGAAAACCAAGAAAAACTGAAAGCAGGACACGGACGGGCTAGCGTGCACCCACATTCACAGCATCGTTCATAACAGCCGAGGAGCAGCAGCAAGACGGGGTCCACCCACATGACGGGCTATTAACTCAGCCATATAAAGTACAGAAGTGCCAACACGTGCGACACCGCAGATGGCCAGCAAGGACACAGTGCTCCGCGAAGTCGGCCGGACACAGAAGGATGAACATGGTCAGATCCCACGTCCGGGAGGTTTGCAGGGACAGAAGGTAGATTGGCGGGGGGGGGGGCGCCCACGGCTGGCGGAGGGGGGCGGGGAGTTATGCTTACTGGGGACACAGCTTCAGCTGGGGAAGGTTCTGGAGGCAGATGGCAGAGTCGGCTGTGTGACGGCATGAGTGGGCTCCATGCCACCAAGCCGCATACTTCACAACGGCTCAAGTGGTCAATTCACACTACGTGTATTTTACCAAAATGAAAAGTAATAATCAAAAGCCTAGAATGTTCTGTTTATCCGACCCAAAGAATACTTACTGGACGTTTACTGGGTCCTGTGCTTGGAAAGGGTTTGCAGCCCTGCCGGTTCCTGACCGCTGAGGAGCCCAGAACACCGTGTCCCACCGCCAGATGTTCCCAAGCAGGCCCCGGCGAGCTCCCCACGGAAGCACAACTCTGGGTTTGGGCCCTCAGAGGATAGCAGCACCCAAGCCCCTGGCTTCCCTCCCTCACTGGAGGAGCACCCCACACAGAGCTGCGCGCAGGTATCACGGGGCTCCCTGACCCAAGGACCCCTTCCCAGCGGCCCGAAGAATCAGGGCACAGAGATCAGGCATTCTTGTTTCCTGTGCCTCCGGCCATGACCCTACCTCCCTAAGAGCTGGAGAAAGACCTTCCAGGACAAAACCTCGGGAGGGAACGAACTTCCTCCTCCCACCCGAGGCCCTGCCACACATGGCAGCCCACAGTCCCTCCTGAGCAGGAGCCTGCCTCTCTATGACCCGGTAATCAGCAGCACGTGGGAACCCATCCTTGGGTCCCAAACCCATTCTACCCATGTCCCGACGTGAGCCTGCCACCTCCCCATTTCCCAGACTTTGGGATCCCCACCGTTCGGGACTCTCCAGCAGAAGCTCTACACCATGGCACATTCTGACCAGTAAAGGGGGCCCCTTGAGCCCCCAAGATTCTGCCCAAAGTCCAACACAAGCCGAGCTTCTGCCACATCCTGGTCCAACCCCCATGCATGGAAAAGGCCACCAGGGCCCCCATCAGGCTTGGGACCCCTGCCCTGGTGTATTCTTGGCCTCCCCGGATTCGTGTCTCCATCACCTGCTACCCATCCCTCCCCCCACAGCCAGACTGCAGGCAAAGCCAGCTCCCACCCCCCGCGCACTGGAGCACGGAGGACACACACTCGCTACTCACCCTCTTGGCTCTTGGGGGGGGGCCTCAACCACGGGGGGCTGGGGCTTGGGCTCCAGCCGGCTCTGCAGCTGAGACATCAAGGCGTGTTCTGAATTCTCCAGGGTCTGGGGTGGGAGCGGGGAGGTGGGCCCCTCGGCTGGCTTGGGCACCTGGATCTCGACCCTCTTGGGGGCTGCGTCCACAGCGGGAGCTGTGGGCATCTCGGGGATCTTGGAGGCAGGGCTCTCCATCCTCCTGTGGGCTGACTCCTGGGGCTTGACTATGGTGATCTCCGTTCTCCGAGGGGCAGGCTCCGGCGTCTTGTGGCCCAGTGCCTCTGCTCGCTTGAGCCCAAAGCGGGACGGCCCGGTGGCACCGGCGCTCTCCACCTGCTTGGACGAGATGTCGATGGAGATCTCCGTGCGCCGGGACACGGGCTCGGCCTTGGGCCCCGAGAGCTCAACCCTCCGCAGGGCAGCCTTGGGGGATCGCTGGCTGAGGGAGTCTACATGGCGGGCTGCGGGCTCGGAGTTCTTCACTCCCAGGTCCTGGAACTTCTGGGTGGAGCTGGCCACAGTGGCCCGGAGCACGGGGGTCTGGACCCTCCGGTGCGGGGTGGAGTTGGGCGTCTCGGCCTCCTCGACCTCAAAAGATCTTTTCAGGGCTGGAAAACAGAAAGGGGGGATGTGAGGAGTGGGCGGTTGGGGAACATGCTGCTAAGGTAGTGGGCAGGGGTGCTGGGCAAGGGGCCCGGGAGACTCCCACACCCTCCACCTCTTGGGAAGAAAGGGAACAGCCCCACTGTCCTAGGGGACCCCAGCACCAGCAATCGCACCCACTGGAGGAGAGGGAACAAGAAGGCTAGAGTCTGCAGGACACCAGCCTCTCTGTCCCCCACAGCCACAGTGTCCACCTGCCAGCCACGTTTTCTATAAAGATGTTCTGGCTCAAGGGGAGCTTTGATTTCTTCCTTGTTGGCCTTCACCTGTCCTCACCTCCACCCAACACAGACACCACTAGACAGCAACTGGGCAGGGCAGTGGGGGCAGGGAGGGGGCGTCCTCAGTGACACCAGCCACAGCCATAACCTGCAGAATCATGACGGCAAGGAGGTCATCATAACAACCCGCCACCAACAGCGGCACAGAACCTCTAACACAGGCACTGGGTTTACTGTGTACGTTGATGCCTCCCGCGACCCTTTGCTGTAAACACTGCTGTTAGCCCCTGGTACAGATGGCAGAACTGAGGCCCCAATGCTTAAGAAATGTGCCCAACGGTGAGGAGATAGAGCAGCGGAGTCAGAAGACGCGTCTGTCCAGCTGCGAGGCCCGGGGTTCCGTCGGCTTGGCTGTCCCGTTTCAGGTGGCATAACGGAGCCCTGGCATGGTCCACACCAGCCCACTCTCTCTGTCCTCACCCCTGGCTGTATCTGATCCCGCACTCGGCTACCTGCCCCAGCCAGACCTCGGCCCCCGGGGGGAACCTGGCCATCTCACTCCCACTCCGCAGCCCAGTGCTCCTGCCCGGCCACCCGCCACCTCCGCCAAGACCTGTTCCAAAGCCAGGGGACAGTGCCTGGGAAGCCACCAGCCATCCCCACAGTCCTGGGTGCTACCCTCCCAATAAGAACCAGTCACTCCCGTTACCACGATCAGAGCGGGAAGGGCCCACATGGCAAGAACACTTGCCAGCGTCTTCCTGGCCCAGCCCCCAGCAGGCTCAGCGGCCCACAGTGTCTCTCCCACCCCTCGCCCCACTTGCCAACACAGCTCCCTGAGCCCAGGATTTCCTGGGACCCCACAAAGCTCCTCCCTGGGCCCCCAGCTGGCCTGGGTCCCAACAATGACAATCTGGGGCCATTCTCACCACCATTCCCCCAACCCTGTGTCTTCCCTCCGCCAATTTCCAGCATAGTCTTGTCTCTTCCCAGGGATGGTGTTTCCTCCAGAGACCAGGGCCTGGCAGGTGGCTGAGTGGGTGTGTGGCCTGGGAAGCAAGTGCTCGTAAGCACGGGAAGAGTCAGAGAGCGAAGGACGCCCTTGTCCCCAGCATCTGGCTGCTGTGCTCACCCACCGCAGCACCCAGCCGCACCGCTCTCAGCCCTGGGCACACAAAGGGCACAAAATCCCAAGCTGCAAAGCTCAGCCATCCCAGAAGCCCTGCGGGACAGACACGTCGCTGGTCGAGGGACCTAGCCTGTCACTGAGCGCTCTGTCCCGGGAACCCATCTGCCTCCCGTTCAGCTCCGGGACCGCCAGGCAACCCGGGCGCCCCACGTGGCCAGAGCTTCAGACTCGGCCAGAGAATCTGGAAATCTGCTTTTCTGTCTGGGCCATCCGATCTGTGCATGCGGGAGCAGAGGAAACCCACCCTCTTCAGACACGGGGCGGTCAAACGGAATCCCACCCAGGCTGCAACGGGCCTGGGGACCCAGCGAGTGACCTCCGGTGGAGAGCGTGGCCAAGGGCACTGGGGTCCCATGCCGGGTGGCAGGGAAGTGTCCGTGATGCCACAGCTCCCCCCGGGGGTCTAGCCCCTAAGAGAACCATGGGGTGCAAACTGCTCGTTCCAAAGAAGGCTGAGGTGACAAAGGATGGGCCAGAGTGCCTTAAACTGGACAGGAAGTCCAGAGCTGGACACCTGGAATCGGGACCTTTGGGGTTCCCCGGGGCCTCCACCCCCGGCCTCGAGAGCACTGTCCAAACTGCCCCCCCAAATGTCTGTGAGCTCCCTAGAGGAGGGTTCTGCACTCCACCCACCTCGGCACAGGCATTTCCAGTTGTCCCTAGGGTTAATCTCTGGGGCCCGAGGTGGAGAACAGGAAACAGGTGGGGGGCCTTTGCCCAGGTTTGCCCCAGAATGAGACGACCTGCGCGGGAAGCCCACTGGAGGTGCCCTCGACCACCGACTCAGGAGGTAGGACCATGCCCCACGCAAAGCCCTCCCTGACTCAGGCACACACGGTTGCTGGGGGGAGCGATGAGCCAGAACCTGACCCACACACAGACCAGCGGTGAGCCCAGTCAGTAGCCCCCCTCCCTCTGCAGGTCACTGCCACGGCCACCTCCACAGATGCACATACCAGTCTCCACCTGCCGCCCTCTCCACCTGCTTCGTGCCCCGTCACAGCACCCTTCACCCTGGGCCCTTCATGACTTGTGTGCCTCTCGTCCCGCACACCATCGGCCAAGGTGCTCAGCCTTGGGCTTCAGGCCCCCTCCCATCCCGTCTCCCATCCCGGGTCAGTCCTGGGCACCAAGGGAACCGGAGCCATTCCCACTGTTGGGGCAGGGACTGTCGGCAAGTGTCTAGGTTGTTAGGGTAGTTCTTGCCAACTTACACCATCCCCCCCAAACAAGCACACCACCCCCACCGCCTCCCCTGATTTCAAGTCACCCCCCCCACCAAAGCCAGGTTCGCCTCCTGCCCCGCCCCAACGCGTTCACACCTCTCCCTTCATGTCATCCAGGCCATGTCAGGGATACAGTGACTCGCTTCAGGGTGGCGGGGTGTTTGGGGTCCCCGGAAACATCTTAACTCCACGAGCCCCCTCTCCGTCCCTTCATGGGCCTCAGGTGCTGCTTCTGCAGGAGCTGGAGGTGGGAGCAGGTCCCAGGTCCTGGACCCGTGGGCACGGAGCCCTGGGGAAGCCCCAGACAGGGGTCTCGGGAGCGGAGAGGAACAGGGTCTTCACGGCCTTTTCAGCCTGAGAAGCCCCACCTCCCCGTACGGTTCTATAGGGGGTTGAACTGTCCCCCCAAAAAATATGGCCCAGTCCTGACCCCCAGAACCTGTGAAGGGGACCTAACTTGGGAAGATAAGGTAAGGCTTCGAGAGGACGCCATCCTGAAGTAGGAGGGGCTCTAAATCCTCTAACTGTTCTCCCACGAGACAGAAGACGGGGATTTGAGGCACAAAGTCAGGCCCTGGGAGACCGTGGGGACCAGCAGCCATGCAGCCAAGGGACGCCTGGGGCCACCAGAAGCTGGGAAAGCAGGATTCTTCCCTCATGCTTCTGGATAGAGTATGACCCGGCCGACACCTTGACTTCGGACTTCAGGCCTCCAGAACTGTGAGAATAAATTCCGTGGTTTGAGCCCCACAGTCTGTGCTCATTTCTTACGGCCGCCCCAAGAAGTGACCACAGGGACCGCTGGAGGGCTGAGACCTCTGGGCTCTTCCCATGGTGCTGCCACCCCGCCCTGCACCCCAGCCCACCCCCCCATCAGAGACCCAGGAGGAAAAGCCACCTCCTTTTCCTCTTCTGGAATCACACAAACCCTAGATGGTAGGAGCCATCGTCGGGAGTGACCCCGCTCTAGATTTACACTGGGAAATTTGGTAATGAAACAAGGTCATTTTCTAGGGCAGGCTTCCCAAGGGACGCCCTGAACAAAGCTGCCTCCCCACGGAGGATGTCCTGACACGAACAGCACCCAGCTGGGAAAAATTAGCATTGTCCTGAAGCTTCCCGCCTTGGAATCCTAAAAACACACTCTGGGTCCCAGGCACACACATACAGCCCCCTGTCCTTGGAAGCCCCCTCCACCAGCTCCGAGGGAGACAGGTGTGACCTCCCCCAGCGGCAGGTCCCTCTCCCCTTCCCATCGTCTGGGAGGGAGCGATCCTGCCATCCATCCCCACAGGGCAGGAGGCGCCCCCCCCCTCTGCTTACACAGTTCCCAAAACAAGACTGCCCCCCTTCTCCCTCCTCTGTATTCAAGTCCCCCCCCAAAGCCAGGCTCAAACCTCAGCTGCTCCCCAAGGCCCCCCGCAATGGGCACCAAGAGCCTAGAGACAGTGGTCCATGCACCTTGGCCTGGTGCTGGGAATTCAGCACCAGGAAATAATCTGAAGCAGATTTACACGTGGGGACGTTCGCATCAGCGTTAAAACAGCAAACGCTGGAAACAATCTGGGTTTACGTAGATGTTCTAAACCCATATGCCGAAGTCCTCCTCAGTCATCAAAATCACAGTTCTGCAGATGAGAGATGGTGAGAATATCGAGTAAAAATAGCAGATGCGTGCCCAGATCAGGCTGCGTCGCACACGCACACGTGCTGTGCACACGCACGCTCGCGGAGGACGCCCGCTCTGGAAGGGGCTCACGTGGGAGCTTTTCTCCACGAGGCCTCCTGCCTTTTCCCAGCACGCCCGCCCCACGTGTGGGCCGCTTAACACTTTCGGGAAGTAAGACCATCAATACTGTTTTTGAAAAAAACAGCCCTTGCTGAGAACAGGGGAGGCTGTGGGTAATCACACGCCAGCCCAGCCCCACTCCTCCTGCCCCAAAGCCCGGCCCTCTCCAGCCCACTAACCACCTCCAGGCCCGGCCAGCGCGGAGGCCGGGCCGCCTCTCCAGATGCTCGGCCGTCCGTGCCCGTGGGGGCAGAGGCAGGAGCAGCCCGGATCTGGGCCTGTTTAAGGAGGAATGCGGGGCACACAAGGGGCCATTGTGCAGGCCCCTTCCGACCACAGGCTGCAGCAAAGCTTTCCCGCTTACGGGTGCACAGAGCGGCCGGTGTGGGGAGGGGGCACCGGGGGCGAGCATGGAGCCGTGATCCAACGGGGGAGGGGTGGAAGGGACAAATGTTATGCAAGGAATGTCAGAGACCAAGGTCAACCCTCAAACCCGAACCCAGCTCCCAGGGGCCAGAGC